CAAGTCCTCACTTCCCTCTCCTCCTAATTCTGGTGATCTTCAGACACTGCAGATAACTTCAATATTGATTGAACTTTATCAATTGAAAAACTTATGAATAGTTTCTGGCTTAATTGCTTTGAATTTTGGTTTGATATCAGTCGGTTGCTTTTTGTTTTACTAAAACATAAGAGAACAAATTTTTTTTAATAATAAAACGATCGTTTGAGAGGCGAACAATTTAAAGATTCGAATATTTCAATAAATCGAAGCAATAAAAAAATGTATTTCTAGCCCTTTATACACAGTTGCTCTATTCTGACTTAAATCAATTTCCAATATCAATCACAATTTTTTTTTTCAGTAACATTCTATTTAGTTCTGTGTTAGTCAAGACGAAAAAAAAACTTATTATTGTCACGCTTGGTTAGGTTGTAAATATAAAAGATAGAATACATCAATTGATTTGACTACTTCAATACAGCAAACGTGTTTACGGTTGGCTGCCATCATTTGGCAAATTATGTTGCTTCCTTTAGTGTACTTTTTAGTAGCCTTTTTTGTTTATATTCTTTTATACGAGTATTATAAAAATAATGCTCGTAAACAAATAGCTGAATTAGATTATCTTCAAAGTCTTGAAACTACACAATTTATATCCATACCAATATCAACAAAAAAGTATGAAAATATAAAGATTAAGAAAAAACAAATGAATTTTTTCAAATTTTTTTTTTAGACCATTTGATCAAGTGAAAACAGAACTTCGTACAAACTTTTATTTTAATCGTATTCGTGTTATATTTGGTATTGATTTTTCAGCAAGTAATGAATGGCAAGGTCGTAAAACATTTAAGGGACAAATATTACATAAAACAAATTCAAATAAAATTTATAATCCATATCAAAAAGTAAAATGAAAATGATATTCTTTTATTTATCATAAGAATATTATTGTTTTTTGTTTCTGTTTTTATTTTGGCTTAGGCTATTAGTGAATTAGGTATAATATTTGAAGATATATTTTCATCAAAAGTTGAATATTGTTGTTTTGGATTTGGTGATGAAACTACAAAAGATTATTCTTTTTTTCCAATTGTTGGTAGTGGTGGAGAATTTAGTTATCAACATGTCCTTGATGCGTAAATTTTATTAATACTTTTTGTTTTTACCTATGAAATTTATGACCAATTTTATTTTTTAGTTATTTGGAAAAAACAAAAAATGTTGTATTAGGTGGTCCAACTGGATTTACACCATTGATACAGCAATTGGTATCATATGCTATACATTGTAGAAAAGATTTTTCTATGTTAGTTATATTAACTGATGAATTAAAAATTTCTCATCAAGATAATTCATTAGTTGAATTGATTTATACATTAACAAATTTACCTAATGCATGTCTACTTGTAATTGGTGTTGGTGATGGACCTTGGCAAAGAATGTCATATGAAGAACATCGTCTTCGTGAATTAGTATTTAAAAAAAGAAATCAAAAGAAGGGAAAATTTCAACCTGCAATAATTGAATCAAATATTGTATATGATAATTTTCATTTTGTAGATTTTAATGCTTTTACTTCAAAATCGGATAAAAATACAAATGAAAGTCATTTAGCACAAGCTGTTTTAACAAAATTGCCAACACATTTAAAACAAGCTTTTAAAAACGATCAGAATATTGCACATTTTTAAAGACAAAAGACAATTTTTTTTGTGCTTTTCTTTCGCTTTTTATTGTCTTCTATACGAATAATTTCGTCGATTAAATAGACTTTTAAGTGAATTAGTATCCAGTTTTAATAAAATAAGTTTCATAACAAGAGGCACTTACTTTTGTCTCTAATCATTGCTCAAAATTGTATCATTGCAAAACATGGTTCTCCTCCGCTGCTGGAACCCACATACCAAAATCGAATCTTCTTCATTTCACCATAGACGTGCTGAAGGTTTTCTCTGATCAGATATTTTAACATACCAATGATCAAACATCAGTATACGTTTCACTTTCATTGCGACTGCAAATCTCTTTCTATTTTGAATTATGTAGAGAAAGACTGTTTAGAGAAAAATCTAGATTTGATCGTAATGATCTTTGTACACTAAATGTATCATCATCTGAAATTGAATCTCGAACGGGTATAATTTCGGCAATAATGTTTCATAAGTTGTGTGATTTGGCATTTCAAATATGTTATGTTGACTAACATGTTCTTTTTTAACTAATAGTAATCTAAACATGAGAATGCACTATTCGATTTTTCGAAATCGATTCACTAGGCTTCTTATTCATCGATTAAGAAAAACTAAATAACACATTTTCATGTTTATATTACTATTATTAAAAAAGATCTTAACTGATATTATGATACGAATCGTCAAGTCATCTATAGAAAACATTCCATGGGAGATGCGTTTTTGTCTACTATTAAAATAATTTTCCGTGACACACAATTCATGAAACATACTATGCGGAAGATTATTGACAAAACTATTTGATTTTTTTCTAGATAAATTTTGAGCCACAACACATATTACTGATGAAATAGGTATTCATTATTCTTTATATTTTTAGTACGTTAGATAGATAGAAAAAAAAAATGAAATTCGTATTTTGATATAGAAATAGAGAGTGTGTCTGTTTCACTCATCTCATTTGTATGATTGATATAAAATGATCAATTATTCACAAACGAAAAAGTTTCTTGTGAACTATGAAATTCGAGACGATCAGTTCTTCCTTGTGAATTCAATTTTTCTTCGAACTCATCTTTCCCAATCATAATCAACATTATTCTATCACATATTAAATACATATCATTTTTGCATTTTCTCATTCATTAAGAGATGTGGCACAGAAAAAATAGAGTGTTCTATATACACTTATGAGAGAACCTCACCCAGTGTTTCAAAACTTTTGCACTGATATTTTTCTCATACGTAAGATTCAGTGAGAACCTAGTAAAATGGTCATCATGCTAGAAAAAGACTTACAAGTTGGAGCGGTTCCCTTATTATCTAAACCAATCTACATTTTGATTTCAGATCCTTAAAAACCGGATTTCATATTGTGTTAAAGCTTATGTTTGTTACATCAACCGGTGTACTTCAGAAATGAGACTGATTTGATTCTAAACACTCACGAACTGGTCCCATCTCTGGTGTTAATATTCTTATACATGTGCCCGATGGTATAATCAATACGTGTGTATTTACTGCTTGTTAGTTTCCTAGTATTAGTTTATACTCCCAATTAAAGAGAAATCACTCAAATGATTTTTTTTGCCTTTTAGATTATGAAAAACTTGGTTTGTTTTTCACACTTGGCTGTCGAAAGGAAAGTGTGAACATACACATTACTCATATAAGAAACATGTAAGACAAAAGTTTTGTTCCGGATTTCGGTTGGAAATACTGGCTGAATAGGTGCACATACAAATTTTTAAAAATAGGAACGACAAAAATTTTTTTTTTCAATACAAGACTGAGGGAGTGTAGTTTCCGTCGTCGCATAAAATCTTAATGCTATCTTAGCATTATACATCTCTCCATAATAATTCTTTTCAAATTTTTTCTAACAGTGACGATTTCTAGACATAGGCAACGTACTAATCGAGCGATAGAATGCAATTGCGTTCCCTCAAAAAAAAAAAAACGAGGACATGCTATAAGAGGTTAATGCTTTTCCTAATATCTCCTTATTCTGATGGTTATATGAAAAGACGGATGGAAAGTGCTAAAAATTTTTATTCTATATGTATGGTTATAATTGTATCACATATATCTAACATTTGTCTTTATTAAAGAAGCTGAAGGCTGATTAATTAATATCATATGATTGGAGAAACATAAAGAACACTTCTCTTTTCTCTTTTTTTATGCATGATAGAAAGAACATTCCTATCAGCCTTCTTTGTTTTATGTTCTTTTACAATTTTATGATTGATTAACTTGTAATTTATTATTTACAAGTGTATCACAAGTAAAGTTTCTTATGATTTAAAACCAATCTAAAAGCTTCGCTACAAGAAAACTGTAGTACATGTAATTGTACAGCTATTGTGAATATAAATGAAATAATTATAATTGATGATGCAACATTAATGTCATCATCTTGACGGTGTCAGTATAGGTGTTAGTCTTATTTGTGTCCATCCACAAATCAAGAGATACTATTTTATGTTTGCGGCACAAGCAACGATGAGGGGTGAACGTAATCTCAAGAATTTGACAATGGCAACATCTATAGCTATCGACCTGTGGCTTACAGCAGTTGAAAGAGGAGAACTTTCCATTTCAAGGAAATTTTGATGTACTAATAATCATTGAACTATAGATTTGAAGTACATGCCAAAATCAAAAATTACATCGAAACGGAATTATTCCGTTTTCATGCATGTTTCTCTAATGTTTTGCGAATGCGATGAATTTTAAAATAATTTTGTCTTATATTGTATCATGCAAAAATAAACGTCCAGAGTTCTTCTATTTCAATTGCTCTCAACCACAGATCTCTGGTTGTTGCCATTATCGAGTTATTGAACTTAACATTCAATACTCTTTAATTCTAGCACAGGCATTATCTTTTAAATTCGTATAAAAAAACAACTAACCTGACTAGGGTAAAACTTTTTACTTTCTCTAGAAAGCTTTGTTTGCGTCACCTATATTACTTGATAAACAGTATACTTCTAAGGCCACCTATCCTATAGAGGTCGTGTCAGATTTTGTTAAGACTACGATTGGTAAATAATTTTCAATTTTTTTATTGGTTTATTTTACATAAAACAATATCGATAACCAATAGAAAAAATTAAAAAAAATAATTTTTCCATTCGACATATTATGAGATAACGGTGACGATTACGTTTTCCTTTTTTCTCTCTTATTATATAAATTTTTATTCGCTCATTGTTTTCTACATATAAATAAAAACGAAAAAAGAAAAAAAAAAAACCAACTTGACTACACTGTGATACAAGTCTCTTTTATTTTCAATATTTATTTTGTTTGGGTAGAATGCATCAGGTGGTAGAAGTACCTCCGTCATTATCAGGAACTTCAAATGAATCATTACTAAAATCTGAAGTCAATCATGAACAACCAACTATTTCATTAACAGAGTCATCAGTAGCGCCACCAACAGTCACTCAAACACAATTGATTACAGTGCCAATAGCATCGGCTCAACCGTTTTTAACAAGTACTCCATCAGCAACAATAAAACGTACAAAACGAGTATGTTCTATGCATTATTTCTATAGAGTCTAATATCAAATGTTTTGTTTTTTCAAAGGGTTTTCGAACTTATCTTAATAGTAAAAAAATCAATCGACCATCTACTAAACCAACGACAGTACTTGCTCGACCGTCGACTATAAATACATCAGCAATACTTCCATACTCATCAAAACCGATTATACTTAATAATCAAAATAGTAAATACGAAAAACTCCTAAAAACTTCTTTCATGATATTTTCTTTTAGCTCCAATTATTCCAAAATCAGTAACATCAAGTAAGTTAGTTTAATTAAAGTCTTAAAAAAACAACAAAAGTCTTATTTCAATATTCAAATAGTTCAAACAAATCCATCACCTGGATTTACTACTTATTTAGTTGTCGATGGCAGTCAAGGACAAGTTAGTTTTGAAAATACTCATTCAAAAAAAAATGAAATCTTTCCATTTACAGCTTGTTCAAGTTTCTAATGATGGTCAAAAACCAGTTACATTTCGAAATCAAGTTGGACAAGTTCTTCAAGCAACACCTATTACTGTTGTTTCAACTCCTAATCAACCTATTATATCTTCCTTTCCAACTAATGGAGATTGTTCATTATGTATGTTCAAATAAATATCTAATAAATATTTTATGAAGAATGTTTCGTTTAATTAGTATCAAATTCATCACAAACAATTACAACTGTTCGAACAAGTTCTTCGATTGATATGCAACAAAAAAGTAAAATTTTGTTTTTGTTTTTTGAAATTTATAAATTTTTGCATTTTAGCAACCTTAACAAGTGGTACAACAACAATGACAACACAACAATTAACAGGTATTAATCATCAAACATCAATTCTACCAACAACTATTGTTAATGGAAATAATAATTTACAATTATATGATAATAATTCATCATTAGATGAATCAAAATCAGCAAATAGTAATCTTTCGTTATCATTAACGCAAATAGCACAGAAAGTTAGTCATCGTCATCGTCGATCAAGCAGGTAAAACAAAAGAATGTTTTTTCCTTTTTTTTGTTTCATATTTTACCTGTTTTTTAATTAGTTCAAGTATATCGAAAAAGAAACGTGGAAGACCAAGGTAATCGATTGAAAATAATATCATTTTTATATACATAAAATATTATATTTAGATTATATGAACGAGATCCATTGACAAATAAACCAATAAAAAATGATCTAACACCAACACCTACTGAATTAACTAAACCAAATGTAATAAATACAACATTTTTAAGATCCGGACAAACAACAACATTTAATACATTATCTAATCCTTCAAATAATTGTGGTTCACTCTTTTTTCCAAGTCAAACAGTAAGTTCATAAAATCTAATGAATAAAGAATTTTTATGATACATTTAATACTGTGTTTGTATTTATATACGATTAGATATTCAAACTATGAGCTTACGGATATATATTTTATAAAATTGAAAAACTACTTTGATCTAGCATTTTATTTTTTTATAATAACCGGGCGTTTCCCGAGCGGGAAATCACTGTTTATTCGGTCAATGTTAGCAAAAGTCTTCCAATTGGTCTTCTGAGTCATCGGCTCTTCTTACAATTCTGACAATCTCACGACTGGAGAGCCTTTGACTCAGAAGGTCGCTTGGAAGACTTTTGTTAAAGTTGACCAGATTGTGTGGGAAGATGTTAAAGTTTTTTTGAGCAACAAAAATAATTCAAGCGATTCACATTAGGTTTTTATCATTTGATCGGATATTCTAGGAAGTTTTATATTACATTAAAGTTCAAACTCTGAGCGTAAGGTAGACCCCAGCAGGATATGAAAAACCCCAAAAAGATAAATCTCCTTAGGTCTTCTATCTGGAGTTATAGGCATTTTACTGAGATTTCGCCCACGGACAGATCTGTTAGTGAGTAAAGTGCTCTGAAATTTCCAGCTCGAAAGAATTTTTTCTTTCCGTGATATTGAAGTCCCAAATAGCAAAATATTAACATTTTATATGGGATATCAGTGATTCTCTATGTCGAAATACCGTCATTCGATTTTTTAGTATAGACTATGCCATAGACTAAAACTCCAGTATAATACCTATAACTCTGAATAGAAGACCTAAAGAGATTTATTATTTTGGGATTTTTCATATTTCACTGGGATCTACTTAATGTAATATAAAACTTCCGAGAATATCCAATTAAATGATGAAAAGCTCATATGAATCACTTGAAATATTGAAGAGTTATTGTAGTTTTATTTTACGGCTAACTTTTAGAACCATCTTTAAATGTTATCAATATATAATTTTTAGACGACCATTCCTGTAACTAATCCTTCATTATTACAACAACATCAATATTCATATCCATCATTCCTTAATGGAACTACATCGACAAATATCATGACATCACCAACATTTAATACTCTAGCTAATACAACAAATACATCATCATCATCAACTACTTTTCCTTATTTATCTCAGTCTATAACAAAAGAATACTCTCCACCATCAGTTCCTTCCATAATACCAACACATAATGTTGAGATATGTTCTCGAACAAGTTCAAATCTTCCTCATACTGTTCAACAAAATGCATCACCAATAAAATCATCAAATAATGATATTGCTGTTCATTATATTGGTGGTTTTGTAATACGTGAAAGTAGTCATCCATTTATAGCTAATGACAATCTAAGTCAAAAAAATAATAATGATCAACTTCAATGTATTATATGTCAAAAAAATGATTTTTCACAAAGATTTTTTGATCGAGAAAAAAAATTTTGCTCAATATTATGCTCATCAAAGTCAAATGAAAATAAACCACCAATAATTAATGAACCAATACGAGTAAGATAAATAAACAAAAAAACAATTTTCTTATTCTGAAATAAAACTTTCGTAAAGGTTGTAGAAAATATCAATGTACAACAACCAATTGAATCAAATATCAATGAACAAATATCGTTACCACATGATCATGGTCTTCCAACTGATCCAAGTAAATGGACGGTAAGACTTGAATATTTCTTTTTTGAAGAAAATTTCTATAGCTTGTCTTGTTTTGTAGGTTTCACAAGTCGGTCAATTCATTGCACGTTTAACAAATGAAATAATACGTCAAGCATTTTATGAAAGTGAAATAGACGGTCAAGCTTTATTATTAATAAACCAAGAAAATTTACGTGATACAATGAAAATTAAATTAGGACCATCATTAGTTATATCAAGTGAAATAGCTAAATTACGAGAACGTGCAAAAACCTTTTCTTCTTGATTTGTTCTTTTTATTTGATTTTTTTTTCTTTTTGGTGCTCAGTATGTTCTATTATTTATTGTATTAAGATAAGTGGCTTTTGTTATTGTATAAATTAGATAATTATTGTGCGTGTCTGTATTTTGTTTTGTATGTAGATATTTTCGATTGATTGAAAAATATGTTTTTTTTTGTGTTGTATTATTTATAAACATGAAAAATAGACGTCAATTAAATAATTTCACAAACAGTCATTTAATAGACAGCGAAAAAATAGAACTGTAAAAAAGAGATATGCCCATTGTATGTGTAATTGAAGGTATAAGTCGATGCATGGATCGGCGGCTACAGTTAAAATTTTTTGATGAAGTTTTGAAATTGAAAAAAGGAAGAAAATGATGGTAGAAAACTTATTGACAAGAAATCAGACGATGACATCTTCAATAACTGATTTGACATGTCAAAGACTTTTAAAAATTGAATATCTGTTTTTGTGTTGCGGTGGCGACGCAGCCAATCGACTAGCACCTCTATGACCAATGTGTTTGTATGTTCTTTGAGAGTTAAGTGAAAAAATCGTATCTCCCTCTTACATTGTTCTAGAAAAATCTACTATGTGCGTGTTAATATTCAATGTTTCGTTTTAAGTAAAGCATTCCAGTTAAAGATAATGTCGAGTATAGAAATTTTTGACAACCCAAAGAAATCTGATATTTTTTTGTACAATAATCAATTTATATATTACTACGAGATTAAAATAATTTCATTATATTGATCCGAGGTTGAATAAAGTCTAATGCTGGACTCGGATATAAAGAATTTATTCCTATTGTCAGCAATAACTTAAATAGAAGCTGATGGATGCAGTCGTAGTTATATTGAATTAAGATTGTTCGAGAATAGATGAGTAATAGCCAGTATGACTAAGATTGTTTAGTCATGATCACGACTTATGAACGTGAATCATCAATATTCTTCCTGATTGTTATTAATTACTTTCGTAAACTATATACACTGCCAACATTAGTGAAATGTATTAAATTGATTGTGAAAAACGGCTAGAATTTGTTGTAACGAAAAGAAGAAAACAAGAATTTTAATATTAAATAACAAAACTTTTGCTCTCATCAAGTAAATGATGAACAACTAAAAAAACTTAATGATCACCATGTATAGTTATGTCGATTTAAACAAAATATCTAATATAGTTAATACAAATAAAGAAAACTCGATTGTATTAACTTGTGTAATCATTTGTGACCTGCTTCCAATCATAATCAAAAACTTTTCAACCTATTAACCTAGGTCACAGTTGAAAACGTGACCTTGATAATAATCGTCATTCGCACCGATGAGTGAAGTTGAATGACATTGTCAACACTGCTACCATAACGAAGATTTCTCTTTGCGAAACACAGTGGCAAGATAAATAAGTTGAGAATGAATAATAAAATAACAGAAGGTTTTTTAAACAAAAGCTTGAACTCCTGATCGTTAATGTTAAAATAACACCAACTGTATTAAAACAAACTATTTTAGATGAAACCAATAATTGAGAGAATTAAGTTACATGATAGATTTAAAAAAAAGATGCTTAAAAATGATGAAGAAAGGTACCTAATCGTTTTGAACAGTCATGTTCGCGACATATGCATAATTAGATAATGCATACATTTATTACAATTTAAAATTTCTTCGAGTGATTGATCTGTTTTGTGGAAATCGAGTTCATATATATATAATATCAGAATAGCTTGTTGGTCTAATAAGTTCACCAATAAAATTAATTGTAGTTTATAACAATATGCGTATATGTTGCAGTTGAGTTCAGAATTTAGTTGAGAATGGAATTAGTATTTGTTATTCATTTTTTCATTTAAAAATTTTGTTAGAACATGAGTAAGAAGTTTATTTGCTTTTCATTTGCGATTTATACTTGTTGTTATTTGTTGAATTATCCAAAATATGCGTCTATGGTCACTTTATTCATAGACACTTATAACTGACTGTATTTATCGATTTGTTGTAGACCAATACATCATTCACTTTTTTGTTAATGATCACTTGATGCTACATAGTTTGCTACGGCTCTTTGTACTAATCGCAGTTCTTTTTTTTTCGATGATGGGGACATGGGGACCAGAGCTGCCAACCTGATCTGCTACCTGGCAGACGTCTGCCAGGCAAAAGTTGATGGCCTAGTGGCACGTAATATTAATATCTGCAGCAGTCAAATGGAAACATGAGATGATGCCACAATTTCAAGATTTTGTCCACTAACTTCGTTATTCATAACGTTTATAATGGATGAACAGTCTGTTAGAATATCAAGGAAAATTGAAATGAAAAACTATTCTTCTAATGTTCTTAGATTTTGCAAATGAAATGCTGACAAGGGATGTGTGTCGATGTTAATGTAACTTATACATATACCTACACCCACACNATAGTTTGCTACGGCTCTTTGTACAAATCGTAGTTCTTTTTTTTTCGATGATGGGGACATGGGGACCAGAGCTGCCAACCTGGTCTGCTACCTGGCAGAAGTCTGCCAGGCAAAAGTTGATGGCCTAGTGGCACGTAATATTAATATCTGCAGCAGTCAAATGGAAACATGAGATGATGCCACAATTTCAAGATTTTGTCCACTAACTTCCTTATTCATAACGTTTATAATGGATGAACAGTCTGTTAGAATATCAACGAAAATTGAAATGAAAAACTATTTTTCTAATGTTCTTAGATTTTGGAAATGAAATGCTCACAAGGGATGTGTGTCGATGTTAATGTAACTTATACATATACCTACACCCACACCCAAAACTAAAGATTGATGAAATTTTGTAGTGTGGGCACATAACAAAGTGTAAATATCTTGAAAGATAAAACACCTCGATCTGTGTACGCTATTGGCAGCTCATGTTTTAAAGTAGTTGGGTTGTGAGTGAGAGCATTCATTTAGTGTGACTATGAACAATTTCCTTAATTTACAGTTGCATGGCCTTCAATTGTTAGTTAATACAAAAAAAGCGAGAAAAAGACAACTAGTGTCGGAATCTTGTACCGAGCCCAAAACTCTGTTTACGAAAATATGCGCAAACAAATCATATATAAACTATGTAGATCAAAACATCTTACGAAAAATAATAAAGTTTATAGAAAATAAATTCCATATTATTTTTCAAGTCTACCTTTGTTGGAAATTCCTTCCATAAAATGTTTTTGAACTAAAATATGTTTACAAAATTGTTCAAAAAAATTAATTAGCATTCATTCTTAAGTTCAGCAACGCAAAAATTTACTGATGTATTAAAGTATTCGTCAGTGGTTGCAGACCTCAGAAACTACAAAAGATTAAGAAAGCAAAGAAGGTAGCCCAATACTGATCTATAATATTAATGAGTTATAGTTATAATTAATTTCGCCAGTAAAGTCACCATCTAAAAATGTTTGGAATTGGCAACAAATCAGACAAAAGTATCTAAATCAGAAAAATCAGAAGGTCAGAAAAAAATCGGAAAATGTTCAAATTTCAGAAACTTTCCTGACTTTTCAGAACATCTGGCAACCCTGCACAGAACATCTAAACAGCAGGATTGTCCTGTCCTATACCCAACTTTGCTTCATTTCTCTTTTTTCTTCTGACGTCCTTTACAAGTTGAACGCCCTTTCTTTTTTTCTTGAAAAAAAAAAGAATCAGCCATCTCTATGTAACATTCTATCGAGATGAGCCTCGAAAGTATTCTTTAAATTTTAAATTCTATTTAGCAAATGCATTAACAAGATAAAAGAAAACTCCAATATTCATTTCTTAAAATAAAAGCTTCGAATTTTTCATATTATAATCAACGCCATCTTCTCTTGCATTCCAGTATGCTGCTTTTAGCAAGCATGCCAATACTCGTCGATAAAGGATTGGTTATTTAAATCAATCATTCAAATTTAAACAGAACATTAAGTGCTGGTCTTCGCCTGCTAAACAATCGTACATATTAAACACAGCGGCGTAAAAAGAATTTCATTTCTTCGTTTAATTAATCAATCGTCACTTGTTCGTTTTTCTCGTCTCAAACAAAAGAAAAATTTTGCCATGTTGAAGTGGCTTCTATACATTGCTCTCCTTGGAGCATTACTTTTCACAAGTAAGATTCTTTTTTTTTTTTTTTTAATTTAAAATATTTTATCGATGATCATTTTCTTCAGATACTTGTAAAGCTGAAGATGAAACTGATACATCAACATCCATTCCACCAAAAGTTGATAATGATATTGGAAAACATACTGATGGATCAAAGACAGATGATGAAGTTGTTCAAAAGTAAAAATATTAAAAAGAAAATATATTCTTCATTCATTTTTGTTTTTCCTATTTCTTTAATAGAGAAGAAGAAGCGATAAAATTAGATGGTCTAAGTGCTAAAGAATTTCGTACATTAGTTGATGCATCGGAAAAACATCAATTTCAAACAGAAGTTAATCGTATGATGAAATTAATTATTAATTCATTATATAAAAATAAAGAAATCTTTTTACGTGAACTTATATCAAATGCATCTGATGCACTTGATAAAATACGTTTTCTATCTCTTACCGATAAGAGTGTACTTGGCGATAAAGAAGAATTAACAATACGTATTAAAATTGATAAAGAGAATCGACTGTTACATATAACAGATACTGGTATTGGTATGACTAAAGCTGAACTTGTTCAATTTCTTGGTACAATTGCCAAATCAGATACATCAGAATTTTTCAATAAAGTTCAACAAGCAAAACAAGATGATAGTACATCAATGAGTGATCTTATTGGACAATTTGGTGTTGGATTTTATTCAAGTTTTCTTGTTGCTAATAAAGTTATTGTTACATCAAAAAATAATGCTGATGATCAACATATTTGGGAATCTGATTCAACTTCATTTAATGTATTTAAGGATCCACGTGGTAATACACTTGGTCGTGGAACAACAGTTAGGTAAAAATAATAAAACTTTTTTTGTTGTTGTTGTTTTTCGTTAGTTTAATTTTGTTTTATGTTTTTTTTTTAGTCTTCATATAAAAGAAGAAGCTGGAGAATATTTAGAAGCATCAACACTTGATGAAATTATTCGTAGATATTCACAATTTATTAATTTTAATATTTATTTATGGAATTCAAAAACTGCTAAAGAAGAAGTACCTGATGATGATGGTAAGATCATTGTTGTTTTCCTTTTTGTATTTTAAAATGTTTTAATTTAATCATTTTAAGGTACTACAGAAGAAAAGAAATCAGATGAAACTGATAAGAAAACAGATGAAGATGCTGCTGTTGAAGATGATAAAGAAGAAGAAGGAAAGAAAAAGAAAACTAAAAATGTTGATAAAACTGTTTGGGATTGGGAATTAATGAATGGAAATAAACCCATTTGGCAACGAAAGTAAGTTATAAAACATTAAAACAAAAATTCCATAAACATTTGTCAGAACTTTTCTGCGTATATTTCATTAAGATCATAATGATTTCAAAAGAAGAAAAATTCAAAATTCAACTATTTCAAAAATAATTTGAAATATTCGTGTTTTTCGCTTCATTAGAGAGAGAGCATAGTTAATTTTTATACTTCTTGCATGTTTGTTTGTACGAGATTGTCTCGCGAATTTCTGGTTACTACTATCGCCAGAGAGCAATTATCAGTGTACTGAAGTAGAAGGCGCTTAGAAAATTCCCAACTAGTTGCGTTTTAAACTACCGGTTATTTTTCTTCCCGCTTTGAGTCATCTGAGCAGCAAAATTCAAAATTCTTCTCGTCATTATATAATGGATGCTATAAGTTAAATATTACTGCAGCAAGTGTTTAGATTAAATATCGATGTAGTATAGCTAAACTTCATTTTTTATACAGTTAATTGAAGGAATACAATGCCTAGTTTGAAAGGAAATAGATCGAAAGATTCATTTTATAATGAAAAGAATATCGAAATGATATCTATATTTTCGGAATTGAATTGAGTAAAGAAATTTATTTTTATTAGAAAAGGATATATGACTATTGTGAACACCATGGAATCAATTCGTTTTGATTGTAATTCAAATGTTCGTTCTAATTTTTGATTGTAAACTAAACTTGTATCGTTATATCATTATTTTTTTTCATCTATATAATATTGTATTCATAGATAAAGTGTACCTAGCCATAGTACACATAAGAGAGAGTAGAAAGAAGTCAAAAAAGAAAATTTGATTATTTTACTGTACAAGAGGATAAGTAAAGGTAAATATCAGGTTTTTACTAAAGAACAGGATATAACTAAGCTTACAGGCCGATATCTTTCCTACAACTAATAATAGTTGTAGCTCTGGACGGAAGACCGGTGTAACATAGATGTCTTACACTCCACTGTTCAAGCTCATCATACATACTAACTAATCATATATTAGTCCCAAAAGAAGATGTATGTCATAACGAAGTCACTATACTATCAAGCGGGTGATTTGAGATTAATAGTCGTTAGTGACTTAATCCAGAATAATTTCATATCAGAGGATATCGAGGTCTGAGCACAGTACCTTGTGGATACATGTTGATCAATGTAGTCACTCTGTCATAGAGGCATAGAGAAAAACTTCTTCAATCTAATGATATATGCAATATCAAGTTCTACTGCATACTGTTGTGAAAAATATATAGTTACTTTTCCGAATAAAGAAAATATAATGTGGTAATATTTTATATTCTAAAAACTTTTCTTTGTTTAGAACATCCGAAGTTAATGAACAAGACTATTATGCATTTTATAAATCATTTACTAAGGAAACTGAAGATCCATTGATCTACAGTCATTTTACTGCTGAAGGTGAAGTTACGTTTAAATCAATATTATATATTCCAAAAGCTGCACCATTTGATTTATTTTCTACTTATAATAAAAAAACTGATACTATTAAACTTTATGTTCGTCGTGTATTTATAACTGATAATTTTGAAGAAATGATGCCAAAATATTTATCATTTATTCGTGGTGTTGTTGATAGTGATGATTTACCATTAAATGTTTCACGTGAAACATTACAACAATCAAAATTACTTAAAGTTATTAAGAAAAAACTTGTACGAAAAGCATTAGATATGATAAAAAAACTTTCTCCAGAAGATTATGTCACATTTTGGAAAGAATATGGTACAAATATTAAATTAGGTGTTATTGATGATTCAGCAAATCGTACACGTTTAGCTAAATTATTACGTTTTACAACATCTGTATCAGATGATAAGCAAATAAGTTTAGCTGAATATATTGAACGTATGAAACCAAAACAAGAACATATTTATTTTATTGCTGCTATGTCAATTGATGAAGCAAAAAAATCACCATTTGTTGAACGTATATTAAAAAAAGGTTATGAAATTCTTTATTTATTTGATCCTGTTGATCAATATTGTTTGCAATCATTGCCTGAATATGAAGGAAAAAAATTTCAAAATGTTGCTAAAGATGGTTTAGAATTAGATAAATCGGATGCAAAACAAGAACAACAAAAAAAACATTTAGAAAAATTATATGAACCATTATTAACATGGCTTAAAGATAAATTAAGTGATAAAATAAGTGATGCTAAAATATCTGATCGTCTTGTAAAAACACCAATGGCACTTGTTGCATCACAATGGGGCTATGATGGAAATATGGAACGTATAGCACGTGCTCAAACTTATCAAAAAAGTGGTGGAGATTCAACAATGAATTATTATTTAAATCAAAAGAAAGCATTAGAAATTAATCCACGTCATCCGCTTATTAAAGATTTACTTCGTCGTATTCAAGATTCAAAAGATGATAAAACAGCTTTGGATTTAGCAAATGTTATGGTTGAAGCAGCAACACTTCGTTCAGGTTATGATTTGAAAGATTCAACTGGTTTTGCTGATCGTATTGAATCAATGTTACGACGTGCTATGGGAATTTCATTAGATGAAAAAGTTGAAGATGAACCAATGGATGAAGACAATCAAGTTAAACTTAATACCAATGTTGATGAAAATATTATTGATGATGATACTGATTCAACAACATCGACAACGGTATATGAAAATTTTATTTAAATTTTTCTTCATTCTTTTGTTTTTGTTTTAGAACTCGGATAAAGCGCATGGTGATTTATAAGAAATGAAAATTTCAAAAACACAGAAATTAACAATCAATATAGAACTAATGAAAGAAAACATATTGTGTTATTTTACAAACATTCCGTCAAATATAAATGTGTTGTTTTTTCTTAGCACACATTCCTTTCACACTTTAGTTTTTTTTATTTTTTAGAATGTGTGACAGTCCATGTCATTTATGCATTTTATTTTCTATTTTATCATCACGAGTCTCATATAGTGATCTTTATCTTTTGTTTATTTGATGTTTTAATTTCTATTTCTGTGCACTTAGCTGATGTCGCCAGTGTTTGTTTTTTTCACAGACTCAGAACAATAAAAGTGTTGCATTTTAAATTGTATCATTACGAAAATCAAAATTCAAACAAAAGGAGTTTGCTTTAACAGACTAGAGGTGGTTAGACTGTGTAGGAATGTTGGAAATTGTTTTCCATAGAACATAGCTCAAGTATAAAAAGAAACAGAAGTGAACCGTATATCAAGTAGTGTGCTACACTGATAAGATTTTTTGTACTAGGTACCTGACTGGAACTAATCAACAGACGGCAGATACTTTCACAGTCATAGTACAATTTTCAAATCTTTACTTTATATGAAAAACTATACTATTTTGTTTCCTCCTTCAACAGCAACAGAAAGCAGACATCATCTCTAACTACATAAAAAAGCAAGTGATTCAGAATTCACTTGGTATCTTTCTGCTTCTAAAATCTGATACAATTCGCTAAGTATACGTTTGCTTGTTGCTGATAACACTGTAACGAAACTCAATATTAATGTCAAACATCAGAATTGTGAATACATACATAAAACCTATTTTGAGACGTCGAGATCAGACTTATTGCTGGGTCCGATGTCGAGTATGATCTCAAATTTGAACCCAACCAGACAGTTTTAGTCATTTCTAGTACCTAACCTCACCCGGCGAGTTTGTATCCAAACTTATGCTCCAGTTCGGACTGGTTTTAGAGCACTAATATCAAATTCAGGTCCATTGAAAATGAGATTTTAGAGTATAATTAATAATAATTTATGGGATGATCACGAAAAGTTCTAAAACTTTAAAAGTACAATTGGCAATTATCATGAGTGATCAATCATACATTGTGAAGCTATCTACGCTAATTATAGCAGCAAAACAAATTTGTAAAGTTGACAGAAAGAAAATAACGGTGCTCGAGTCAAAATATTGAAAGATGTCGTAGTTTTAATGACAAATTCAGGTGAAATATTTCAATATTTCAAAGTGTGGTAGACAAAAACCTTCTCTGATAATCTTTCTAACGAAATACATACTGAATTTATTTATATCATTAAAAATTCGGAATATTATAAAATCTTTGAGGATTATTTTTGTTTATATTAGGATGAATCTAAATATTTATTTAAACATAAGAAATAAGTCAATTTCAACTATTGAATAAGATTGTAGATTTTATAATACGTTGAAAATTTTTTTTTTGAAACAATAACTCAATGCACAAATTTCATAAAATAATTTATTTGGTATATTTCACTTTTTGACCTTAATTGTCCTAAAGGGACAACTAGCTAATAATAAGTATATCTGTGAAGGCGATATATAAAATACCAGGGCAAAAAAGAAAGAAAGAGAAAAGAACGAGAATTAGCATCTTTAAAGAAAGGTCAACCCAGTGTAAAAAATCATACAGAAGATGAATTATTATGGTATAAGATAATTGACAAAGAGACGATTTCAAGGGAAACGAATCTGATATCATACATATTGATAATTGCTACAATGTCAGATGAAGCGTGATCTGATAACCAATTTAAGATACAGCCAAATACATCTACATGTGAGGCAAATCATTTACAATGATAGAGAAAATGAAACAATCTTTTTCCTTTTTGCTACTCAGAACAATTCACATTTAGGCATGATTGCTCAAATAACAGATAATCGTAAGAGAATTTAACAAATTTTTAAAGATATTTTTTGCAATACGCATAGTATAGATCATCAAGTATAAAGTCATCGTCAACAAATGCAAAAAATAAATCGTTCCAATAAATATAATAATAAATTCGCTTGAGTGATGTATAACAAAAGTGATTAAGATTCGTTCGTTGCAAATCTGTGAATGGATGATAGAGTGTATAAGTTCGATAATATATTTTCAAGTCCCTCTGTAAGAGTGAAAACATCTAGTTAAATAATTTAGATCATCCTTAGTGTAGAAAAGCACACAATCTCTTGACAATTATGCGGGTAAATCACAACTCATTTATACGAAAACTGATTATTCCTTTGTATCAAGTTGACTAAAATGGCATATTTAATGTTCTCAGCTTATATGAAAGAAACCAACGAGGGAATATTTTCACGTTTCAAATCGCTTTTCGATCAAGACAATGTTCATTTGATGAGTAATAGAAAGGTCTAGGATGGTTTGGTTTTCGGGGTTTTCATTCTCGAGCTATTGAAGTTTGACTGAGTTTCTCGTCTCTCTCTCTCTCTCTCAAATCATACAGAAAACCGACTTTCAGTCTCCAACTTTCTGGAGACATACACTTCAGGAGAAAAGTCTTTCATCTCCCTCTTTTCTCGTTCTTTTCACATAGAGCCCTATTGATCTCAAGTAAATGTTAGTTAGTATGATTGATAATAATTTGCTTCAATAAACAATAGACATCTTTCAATACAGTTAAGTAACACTACAAATGAGCTGGCTGACAGAGTGTTTCACGACTAGATTATATCTTTTTTTTTCGTATCTGTTAACCGTTTTACTGGCTTAGATCATTAAACTCTCTTCGTGTAGAAAATATCAAAAAAAAAAGAGATAATCCAGCCATCAAGTCATCTATTGACCAACCCATTTTTAGTGTTGACTTATTATATTGAATGACGTACATTTTTTATTGAAGCAAATCATATACTACACTAAAATGCAGCACTGAAATCCGTTGTGTAAACAACATTCACTTGAAACCAAATGGCTTCTATATGTAAAGAACGAGAGGAAGGAAGAAAGATTAGTCATAGGATGTAAATATATGAACAAAATTTACTATTATACGTGAGAGAATTTCAAAGATTTCATATCTCTGGATAGGAGATACTAGAAGAATTTCAATTTATTCAATGAACTAATCTTATCGAGAAGTTTGCTCATGTAACGTTTAAAGTCGAAACTAGCAAATCCATTTTTCCGCATGACCTGAGGTTTATGAAAAAACTCAGTAAAATTTTGATATATCAAGAACAAAATCTCGGAAAATGAAAGCATTCTAGATTTTTTCATTACTCATCAAATGAATATCGTCTTGGTCGAAGAACGAATTTACACTTGGAGATATTCTCTAGTAAGATATGAAAATAGCTAGTAGGCACTAGTAAAAATTCAGATGATTATTAATGGATAACAGAAATTTCAACATTGTGACTTTCGCCAATACACTTTCGGATTTTCGTGCGTCATAGTCATTGGCTATGATACATCTTCAATATCGTTCCATTCTGTCTCTTTTTACGGTATGTAAAAAAAAAATTTCTTTCTTTTTTCTTTTTGACTCATCCCTTTTGGAAAAGATAACATCGTCGGCATGTCATTACGTGAGAGGACGACGATATGTTGCGAACAGATAAATACAATGTGCTGTTTGTTTTTGGTTGTTCGGATTAAGAATGATATTAAAGAATAAAATAGAGTAGTACCGGGAAAGAATGAACACTGTAACTACCGAAGTTCGAGTAAACCTCTCCGCAAAATAAAAAGTCATGATCTTCTATTATACCTTGTGCAATATTTCGTATAGTTATTCTTCGAATTCTGGGAAGAAAAGTACCACTTATTGAAAGGATTTTGTTATATATCTACTTTTTCCCAATATTGAATAAATACTTTTTAAAATAAAATAAATTCGATTCATTAAATCAAACATAAAAAAAACATTAATTTGTTTCTTATTTTGAAACTTGATTTTTAACCCTTTTTTCTTACACATTTTCTTTATTGTTGAATAGCTTATTGCACACAAACACCATCTATCAAATGCTTATCACTCGTTGGTTAAAACCATAAACCGATGGAAGATTCAAATTGAGGCCCCTCTCACAACGATTTCTTTTTTTTTTCTTTTTCTTCTTTTTTTAATTTAGTTTGTTCTCGTTCGCGATTGATTCAACCAAAAACAATCCATTTCGGCATATATTTATATATGTATTTTTTTTCTAGTTAGTTTATTTCTAATTGTTTCGTAATAAATGGCTTCGTGTATGACATTAAAACGTTCATTTGAACATGATCGAGATTCTCCTAATAATAATAATAATTCATTTGAATCTCGAACGTCTTCATCATCAACAAAACGTCGTCGTCGTTGTTTTCCAATGACAGTTGTTTCATCACCAACAACAATGGCTAGTGAAACAACAGAATCAACAACAGTATTTCCTGATGTTCAACCAATTGTAACTACAGGTTAATTGAAAATAAAAACAACAAACAATCATTTTGATTGTTATTTGTTTATTTTTTTCTTTAGATGATTTATTAAATCGAATTAAAGAAGAAGTTCGTCGTCTTCAACGACGTCATCAATTAAAAGTATCAACATCATCAGATTTAAATGATGACGATAATTTAAATGAATGTCGTTCATCAACAAATCAACATCTTTTAACACTTAAACAAGTTAATATAATATGTGCTCGATTATTAAAAGAACGTGAAGATAAAATTCGTGAGGAATATGATAGAATTTTATCATATAAAGTTAATGGTAGAATATTAATTTTCAATAAAAAAAAAAATTTTTTTTTTAATGAATTTTTATTCTTCTAGAACAATATGAAGGTTTTGTTCGGTTTACACAAGATCAACTTGCACGAAGATTTTCTGAATTACAATTCTCTTGTAAGTTTTTATTGATAAATAAATTTCATAAATTTTATTTTTTATTTATTTCTCATAGATGTTTCTTGATTATTTTTTGTTTTTCATGTATATAAAAATTCTTGGTGCTGGTATATAAACTTCTCGATCCGTTCGTATACATTATGATTATCTTTTCTATATATCAAAAACGTTTGTTTTTTTCTTTCTGTCTGCTATAAATTGTGTATTATTCTTTTGTATTGTTGGTTGTGTTTTTTTTTTCTTTCTCCTAAAAGGTGATGCGATCATTGTGCGCAGATAAGCAAAGAAATTATTAATAGTAATACACATGCAGACGTATATATACAAATATTATTCTCTCTTGTATTTTATGTTTAATAGTTTCGATCTTTTCTTTTTTCTTTAGCGTATATACATATATGCAACGAAACATTTTTTTTTTGCGATGAAATAAAATTAGTTGAATTAATAAAAGTCGATAAGTCTTTTAAGGGAGAAGGGATATCCTTGTGCAACATGCCTTCAAAGCACAAAGGTGAGTAAAGACTATTTTTGTACTAAATTCAGTTTTCTTCTATTCATAGTTTATCTAGTACGAAATTAAATAATGAATCATTTAGTAACAAAATACAGCGATTTCCGAACGATTCAGATCTACTTTCGCTCAAACGGTTAATATTCAGATTTGTACTATAAGTGCATAATTCATGCATGAAAGGATGAGTCGTATAAAATTTCTCATACTGAGATTTTTCCAAATGGAAACTATATCAATCGACTATCCATCCTATAGACGTAAATATTATTGCAAATGAGATTGAAAATCATATAGTTATGTTACTATTTCCGTTAGCTGTTTTTTTAATATTTCGAAAAAGGAAAAAAAAACAACGAAAGTTTTTAATTAACTTTGAAAGCTCATACGAACGACTACAAAATGAGATACTTTTCTGTTTTTTTAGAAATGATCTTTGTTAAATAAGACAACTTGAATTTCATTTAGACATCATTTTTTTACTGGTCTGTAAAAGGTGTTGATTGAAAAAAAAATAGGCGTGTAATCGAAATGAATAGTACATTTGGAATTAGCATGAGAAATTGAGTTGACTTAAATTTGTGTCGAAGTTTTTCGAAGAATCTGGGTTTTTTTTTCTGGGAAAAATTCAACTGAGGTCTCACTCAGGATCCAATCAAAAAATGAATTTAATGAAAACATTATTTTTATTGGTTAGTTGTTTGTTTTGATGTCTCGTAGTAATGTTTTACTAGCTCAGAGATCGGTGAGAAAATAGTGTCGAAACCAAACTCCAGTTGACTTATTTCACAAAGTGGACTTCTAAAAAAAACAGAAGATTATTTAGTTTTGGAGCTCTTCATATGAACTTTCAAAATTAATTGAAAGCTTGTGTGGTAGTTTTTTCTTTCTCGACATATTAATAAAATAGTGAACGGAAATAGTAACATAACCATATGATTTCCATGCTCATTTGGAATAATATTTACATTATTTCTCTATAAAATTTCAACTGTTCGGGCTGATGTTTTTCTTCGGAGAAATACCATAGGATGAATAGTCGAATGACATAATTTTCATCTGGAAATGTCGTAGTATGAGAAAATTTATATGAGCCACCCTTTCATGTATGAATTATGCATTTATGACGTAAACCTCAATATCAATAGTTTGAGCAATCGTAGATCTGAATCGTTCAGAAATCACTTTATTTTGTTACCAAACGATTTCTCATGAAATTCTGCATTAGGTAAACTATGAATAGAGTGTCAGAATACTACAATATCTTTTGATTTGGGTAAGGCCTAAGAAGAATTATGAGGTTCGCAAAAATCGATTTTTTTCTCCTTATTTGATGTCAATGAGAAAACAGAAGTTTCATTTTCTTTTTTTTTTATTTTCATAATTTTTTATTATTAATCTAACCATTGATTTAATGAATAAACAAGCCTGTTGTACACATTTATTTTATCTATAGCAGATCTTAATGATCTATTATGTGTTTTAGCAAACTCAGAAACACTGATATTGATGATTCCCGCAAGTTAGAACTTAATCAGTTCATGATATTGTACTGGTCATACGGCAATTGTGGAAAATCAGAACATCATCTTTGATATCTATTATATAATTGTTTATGGGCTCAAAAAGAAACTGCGTTATTTAGAATATTAAGCCTTTAATCCTGGTTGCTAAGGTCTGTAATGGACAGACAGAGTCGCAAAACTTACACTTATTATTTTCTTCGAAGATATGCGTAAATTTCACAAAATAGAGGCTTAGTGAAATGTTAAATTATACGCTTTTTTAGATATTATTAGTTTTCAATGAAGCTTCGTATGTATAAGTATTTACTCATGAAGTATATTATCTTCAAATTACAATACAATTGAACACTGTTGAAGAAATATAAAATAATTAATCAGTATTGTAATTTTGATATAAATTAAAACATACAAAAACCACTAAAAATATTTACATTTTAGAATTCAAATTTTTTCTTTCTTAAAGATTTACAACAGATTCTTTTAATTAGAATATCATAAGTACATAACTCATATGTCCTACTTTAATGTATTATTGATAATAAAATGATCTGTCGTAACTCTGGAAGAAAAAGTAAATTTTAATTTTATTTCAGTGGTTTTTCTATGTTCTAACTTATATCAAAATTACAACATTGATTAATTATTTTATATTTCTTCGATACAGTGTCACTCGTCTTGTAATTTAGAGATAATATATCAGCTGAGCAGGCACTTGTACATACAAAGATCAAATAAAACTTTAGACTACTTTGTAAAAACTGACTAAATATAAGGAAATGCTCTAGGATCGTGAGAATATCGAGCATTGCTCCAAAGGTGTTGACGAATGGTGAAAAAAAAGTTACTTTTTTTTATCTCATTCGATTCCTTGAAAAAAAGTAAGGTTATGAAAATTGTTTTAGACATTTAGGACCTTTCTTCATGGAGTTATAGGCTTGACAACAAGAGAGGGTCTAAAAATATCAAGAAAAACATGATTTTCGATATTTTCCAGTCGTTTGCCTATAACTTCGTCATTTTTCATCCGTTGTTTTTGCGCCAGGTCTCATTCGAAAGAGCTCATCAAACTGAACAAAACAGTCTCTTATGAGACTTCCAAAAAGTGGAATCTTGATAGGGAAAAAATGGAATTTTTCAAAGCCCCCAGATTTTTCGGAACCAGATTTTTTCATTGCAAACCATTTTTCGGGGCTTTAGAAGTCGAATAGGAAAATGTAGTATAGTGTATCTTGTAGAGAATTTTGCTCTACAAAATACATCTAAAAACTTTCGAAAAAAAACACCACGTCAGGTCGCAATTTGACAGACAAAGGTGACAAAAGGCACCTCTTTTCTATGTAAAAGTTTAGGACCAGCGAAAAACCTCGATCATTTAAACGTTAACTATTCATTTTCAAGCAAAACCCTTATCATATTCGGCATCAGCATCAAAAACTGAGTCAGCCAACATACATTTCGTTAAAAATAATTGTTTCACAAAATTCATCCCTACTCCCCCTCAGCTTCTTTTTGTAAAATTTTTGCCTGGGATCCCCCTCAGGTGAAATTTCTCAAAAAATTATTTTTAACGAAATGTATGTTGGCTGACTCAGTTTTTGCCGCTGATGCCGAATATGATATGGGTTTTGCTTGAAAATGAATAGTTAACGTTTAAATGATCGAGGTTTTTCGCTGGTCCTATACTTTTACATAGAAAAGAGGTGCTTTTTCTCTCCTTTGTCTTTGAAATTGCAACCTGACATGGTGTTTTTTTTCGAAAGTTTTTAGGTGTATTTTGTAGAGAGCAAAATTCTCTACAAGATACACTATACTAGATTTTCCTATTCGACTTCTAAAGCCCCGAAAAATGGTTTGCAATGAAAAAAAATCTGATTCCGAAAAACCTGGATGGTTTGAAAAATTCCATTGTTTTCCTATCAAGATTTCACTTTTTGGAAATTTCATGCGAGACTTTTTTGTTCAGTTTGATGAGCTCTATCGAGTGAGGCCTGACACAAAAACAACGGATGAAAAATGACGAAGTTATAGGCAAAAGACTGGAAAATATCGAAAATCATGTTTTTCTTGA